GGAAGGAGCTGGTAGCACCTATTTGAAAAATCAAATGAGATATTATTATAAGTATATAAAGCCTTTTACACATTCCAAGGAAACAGTATGGATGAAAGATGGAAAACTGGGGAATTATTATTAGAGACAGACAAAAATGGTCAATGAAAGAGAAAAATAAATTGGAGGAAAGGGATAAATTTAGTATTGTGAATAGCAGGGATGTAACAGGAGGAACAGGGGCCAGCTGTGCAATGACTGAAGAAAGCTCTCATGACCCCTATGTGAACAGGATTCAAGTGCTGCTAAAACCAGCAAAGGATGTCACTGAGCTGATGAGTCTTGTGGTGCCAAGTTCAAACAGGACTTTGCTCACATTAGACAAGCACTCTATCACGAAACTCCTGAAGGTGATTTTCAAAGCACTAGAACTGGTATCTAGATTACCACTAATATGAATGTTCTTTGTCTTGGTAATTCAACCTGTGAATTATGGGTGGCAATGAGAGAATATATTAGATCGGTGGTTCTCAACCAGGGGCAATTTTATCAGCCAAGAATGTTTGGCAAGGTATAAAGGGTTTTTCTGATTGTCACAGTAGGAGGTGCTACCGACATCTAGTAGGTAGATTCCTGGTTTGCTAACAAACACCCTACAGTGCTCAGGACAGCACACAACAGAGAATTAGCCCATCCTTAGCTGTAGTGTCAGTGTGAAAATTCCTTCACCAGTCTCCCAAGACAGGCTCCAGTTCTAGCTCAGTTTATTTTATCCCCCTACTAAGAAATTCCTTATCTCTAGAAACAGAGAGCAGGGGAGTCAGGTCAGGTGGAGGGAAATGCAATGTTTGGATTAGATTACTCCTCACTTTCTTATTGGCTATCATTATTCAGTCTTATCACTGTTCAAAACCTCCCTTCTTCTTTCCCTCCTTCTCTGCCTCTCTTCCCCCCTTTCTCCTCACTCTCCCTTGGGTAGGCATATTATCCGTAATATAGTCTATAACAGAGAAACAGGGATACAAGGTGTGGAGAATTATAGTAGGCTTAATTGGAGCCAAGCATAGGATTTTCAGAAATTATCAGTCTCAAGATATCTTCTGTCTCAAGTAAATATCTAAAGAATCACTGGTTATATCAAAGTGCAGTGGTGAGAACTAGATAAGGCTTCAATCTAATTATGAACCCAGATAACACTGATATTTAACATCACCAGTTACTTCCACTATGTCACCACTAAGCCTTTTTAGATACAGACTTACTCTGAGGTATGATGATATCAGCATGAGAGAAACAGGTGGGCACAATGGCAGCGTCACTAAGTGCTTCATCACTAAGCCTTTCAATTAGAAACTATAAGGTTCTAATATGAAATAGCCTTGTATGTACCCATAAGCTTGTGAGTTAATAATTTTCATATCTCATATTTAAAATTCACAATTTTGACCTAAGAGACTAAGCACTAACATTGTTTTTTAGGAACAAATGTCAGATGATATTATATATTAGAAATAGTATGCTAGCTAATTAAATCATTACATTAACCTAGAATGCAACTGAACTTTTAACTGCTTTGTAACTTTGCACCCAGACTTACACAATCTATACTGCCAGAGGACACTGAGTCTGTTGCATTGCCTCATTTAAAAAAAAATGTCTTAGGATTGCATTTCCATACCAAGGTGATGGCTGGCAGAGAGCCAGCCTTCCCATTGTCTTCCAGTGCAATGTTCCTGACAGCAGTTACAGCCATATTAATAGACAATTTGCATACACCTATATTTAGAGTGCAAATGAAGAAGCCACACCTTCATTTACAGTCTCCTTAGAGAGGACTCCTCGAATCTTCTTCTCTTCTTAGGATATGGAAGATTCACAAAACTGGACAGAAAAATCCACAATTACACAAAGTCTTGAGGAATATAAATATAAGTCAACCTCTTCCTGCCTACCTTAGTTAGTATATATGTTTTGGAAATTCAGAGATAGAACATGCAGTTAGCTTCAATGACTACTTCATAATGAAGCTCATATCTAAGAACTATGTAGATAAAATCTGAATATTATATAAAAGATCATCTATCTTAGCCCAGGTTAAAAAGGACAGATATGTGTTTTCTCTACTCGGATTTGCATCAGGAGAGGTCAGCAAGCCCACTTAGATGTACAAGCTTCACTTAGAACAGGTTCCAAGTCTTGGGGCAGCCCTAGTTAACACTGGAGTTTCTCTATTAGAACCTGCTATTTTGATTATTCCTAGCCTTTGGACCTCACTGACTGCTTACACCTGGTAAAGAGTGACCTTAAGATTTGTTGCTTGCCCCCAGTCTCAAAGTCTTTGTAAGGTATTTGACTTTTTTGAGTTTTAGTGTGTGCATTTGTCAAAAGTGCATCATTGTATCTGGCCTTATTTAGTGATTTTTAGTGATTAGGGTTTAAGACGCCTCACACAAAACATGGCTGGTCCTCACCAGGCATTTGGTAATAGCTAGCTCGTGTCCCACCTCCTAGATTCAGATTCCAGTGCTGAACCAGACACTCCAATTATCTAAGCTGTTCACGTGGCAAGACAATGCAGAAGACACAGGGGATACCTGGGTCAAAATCCAGACAGGGGAGTACGGTCAGCATGCTTATTGCCCAGGTGTGTCTTCTCAGGTTATGCCAAGAGTCGGGTAGATCATAAACTCTCTGGGCCAACAGAAGGCAAGCCCATTGTCTTGCTGAGATTCTGCCTCTCGTCTTTTTGAAAGAGACCATCTACTCTGCTTAATTCTCTTACCACATAGTGAAGCTAGGCCAAATTGTCTTCCCTCATGAATATCCTAAGAAACCCATTTGAACATGAGTGAGAATGTTTGACTTCAAATCAAGCATCACTATGCATAACTGCAAAGCTCAAAATAAAGATGCCTCTTCCTATCTCTAGAAAAGTCACAAGGTCAGAAGGCTAATTCAGCTGTAAAATTACAGATTATACAGAAAACCATCCCTAACTGGACTGTTTCCATCTTTTACGTAAGTCCATTAAACTGTAATTGTTAGTCAACTTAGACCTGACCTCTCTCAGCTTATCATCTATTTTGTAAGGGAACTTGGGTCAGTTTCCTCTTGCATAAAACAAGAGCATTGATATCAAACATTTTTAAGATATAATAGCAGTTAGATGACTGACTTTATATAGCTACTTGAAACTGCATGCATTGGGTATAGATTATAAAACTTTACTCCCACAATCATAAATGCATAGACATTCCACAAACGTAATAAAAGTTCACTTCAATCTAAAATATCACTTTCCTTTGAGGGACAAAGTCCACGATTTCTAGGCAATCTTTTTCTTTGGGGAAGGGCACAAATTCTGACATTATAGATGGCCTTGCTTTTTTTTTCCTATATGCTTTGGAATCAAATAACAAGACCTGCATACCAGACTAGAGTGATACAATATAGAATTTCAAACAGGAACTTTTCTAGTGGCAAGAAGTATCTCAACAGACTGGGAAAACAGAAACTGACCTAGCTCATTTGGAAATGGGCTTGGCAGCTGATGAAATAGGCGAACTATAATTAAGTGCTGCAATAAAGGAGCTAAGCACTTTCATGACAACAAAAACACACACAACACACACGCACTAGGTGGGTAGCAACCAGGTCATTCATAGGCTCTTGCTGTCTCACATTAGAATATTCACTGAGATGTGCAGAACAGACACTTGCATTGTTCTGAGACACCTTGCAAGTGGGAAAAAAAATATATCACTGTGACCTTTAGGTTCATTTCTAACTCGAGGAAGGCTGCCACCCTTCTGAGCTTATCCTTCACACAGAGACCTCAACACAAAGGCGGCAAAGCTGCATTGTTTACAGTGACTCTCCTTGCAAGACACTATTAACTCTGTTTTGACAGAAACCACAGATCCAGTTTCTACTTGGGTTCTTGCATTTAGACATGTAAGTTCTAACTATGCATAGTATGTACTTCATTAGGGCTCCCAACCCATATAAGGCGTGTCGAAATAATAATTTAACTGTCACATCCTTCACAGATAGAGTGTCTCAGGAGCATTTGTCTCATAGTAAGTCCAAGAAGAAGGCCAGACTGGCAACTTTTAATTCGTTATTCAAATGTCTGTATATTGGGAAAATTCATATATAAAATCATCTGGTGTTTAAGAAATTAGGGGAAAGTCATTAAATGAGATAAAGCAAGAGAGAGACAGAGAGAGAGAGAGAGAGAGAGAGAGAGAGAGAGAGAGAATTTTACAATGGGATCTCCCTGTCCCCTGTCCCCTAGAGCTAACTCGTCTAAACAAGAAAACTAAAAAAAAAAAAAAAAAAAAAAAAAAAAAAAAAAAAAAAAAACCTTCCTTCCTAAATTACAGGCTTCTGGCAGGTAGCCTAGAGCTTTGCTTGCCTGACTCCCTGGGGAAGGCAGCTACTGCTTGGGGGAGCTGCAGGTGACAAGTTGGCAGCTTCCTTCTGGACCTGCTGGGTCTCCTGGGCCCCAGCAGCCCTGCAGGCACATCCCACAGACCCCTGGTTCTAAGCAGGGTCCTTTGCACAAAGGTCTCTAGTGGTCTGGGGCTGATCCAATCTCTACCTGCCACATCCAAAAGAGTAAATCATTATCATAGGAGCTTTCCATACCTTTGGTGTTCTTCAATTGCTGCATTTTTAAAAGGAAAAAAACAAAACAACAACAACAACAACTACCTTTGGTGTTCTTCAATTGCTGCATTTTTAAAAGGAAAAAAACAAAAAAACAAAACAACAACAACAAAAAAAAAACCTTTTCAACTTTTTTTTCCCAGTAAAAGAGAGATTAATTCACTCAGAACATATGCCAGCAATGAAACGCAATTTTAACATTAATCGGTCCTGCACCTCTCCAATCCTGTCAGCAGGAAAGACACTCACAGAAGTCATGCTCTTAAGATAGAATGCACTTGAACCTGGCGGACAACTCTGTACTTGTCCTATGACAAATGCACGGGGGCTGTTTCCTTCTCTTTGCTTACCCAGGCAGAGCAGCGCCAGGACCCAAGTGGCAGAGAGCATCTCCATCTTCCTCTCTGTGTGCAGCTTGCAGAGTGCGGGATGCCGGCGGGAGCTAGGAGCCTGTGACTGAGCTGAAGCAGGGCTGACCCAGGAACTGGATCTGACCAAGTGGCTGTGACTCTGCGGCTGCCAGGCAAGTGAGATCAACAGCCAGCACCGCGACCTTTATAAGTCTGGGGAGGCGCTTCAGCACGCGAGGACTTACTAGCGGGTTGTCCAGGGTTTCCTAATTCCTGGCTCCGGGGGGAGGAGTGGTGGCCGGCTGAGGACTGGCCAGATGTCATCCTCCCTCTCAGGAACACCTGAGAGGAGGGTTTGAGGAATGAATGTCCTTCTAGTGAGTCTGGGACTACTCCCCAAATTTTTCCATCCTCCCTGTCTTGGACTCAAGCTTGAGGAGGTGGGGAGCTTGCACCAGATGGGTTGGTTTGCTTAGTGGGGTCATCTGCCGGGTAGTGGGTGGCTTTAGGTGCTGTGGGTGACTGTTGCAGTCAGGGCTGGTGTTTCCAGCACATACTTTTGGAGAGCTGAGTGTGTGACTTGCCCATTTAGGGCTGGAATAACTCCCTGTCTGGGAACATACTTAAAGCTTGTCAGCGGCTATAGTGCTCTGCTCCTCATCCAATGCCCGGAAATGCCTCTCACAGGCACGCCTGCCTTCTTCTTCTGCCCCTCAGCTTCCAACATGATTCCGACATTTATCACTCCAAAGTCTAGTGATTATGAAGAAAGCCCTGTATTGTTTTTCGTTCTGTCTTATTTGCTATCTATCAGCAAATTGTTGAGTTGACAACTCCAAACTTTGCCTTAATCCAGCACTGCTTTTTTATGACACCTTCCAGTGACTTCTCCGTGCCTTTGGGAGAAGACCTATGTCAAATGTGAACTGAAACAGTCCTTAGCTCAGCTCCCAATGGTTTGTCAGACAATGGGCTCACTTCCTCCAGGCTGGACAACTCAGCATGTGTCTGCTGTTGATGGAGTCGTACTTGGGGGAATGGGTGTCCCTTATGAGGAACTAGTCAGGTTTAGTCCATTTATTGTGGTTCTTCTCAAGGCCTGGGATGCTCAGGTCCATGGGGATATCTTCCGGTCTCATTTACCTTTTCCCTAGATTCATAGAATTCTAGATCGGTCCTGAACTTCCAGTTAATCAGCTTTGTACACTTTGACTTTTATTTGTAGGTCTTACTTTCACATCTGTACAGACTTAGAGATTTGTGTTGTGTTGTCGTTTTACTTTTTGTCACATTACTCCTAGGGCTTAAGAATAATCAACTTTGCATGCAAACAGATTGGGTTGGAAAATGGATTCTAAACAGTTTTGGGCTAATGACTTTCTTGGTTTTTCTAGCTCAAATTAGAAAAAGGAATGTTTTAAACTTTTTTCTTGTTATTCTCTCTCCCTTCACTCAAGGCCTTTGGTGTCCACAAACTTCTTTGTTAGAAAGAAATGTTGCATTCTTTTAGTGGTTAGGATTGAGAACATTTGAATGGAGATTCGTGAATAGCCTACTCCATCTCTCTAGCTTGGTTCACAAGTGAAGGAGAATTAATAGTAGCTAATTCATGCAGAAGATAAACAGTGTGTTTAACACAGTGCCTAGAAAAAGTTAATACTGCCTGAAAATACCCACTCCTGTAGGCAAGCAACCTTTCTTAGAAGGTAGTTGGTCAATATTTATGACTTCAGAGGAATCCATGAACAGACTGGAGATGGACCAGCTTTCTCTGCTGATCTGAATCTGTTGGAAAGGCAGATGACAACAGGCTTGCAGGGATTTCTCTTGGACACAGCAATTGAGTAAAACAATGTTGGTAATGGGTTGTGGTTTTATGGGCTTTTGAGAGGAATCACACACTTGGTAAACCAAAATTAGGTAAAGAGACTTGGTTACACAGTGGCATTGGGCCTACTGATTAGAGCTGGAAATAAAAATAGCACAATTGCCTAAGGAATAAAAGCAAAACTCAAAAGAATAGGTCATCAGCTGGCATCATCAACTTCTCATGGTGACTCGGGCAGGTACTTGCAAGAAATGGAAGGGAAAGGAGCTCATTGATTCTGCTTGCTGCTTTCTTCCACCAAACAGAGTGCTGTGCCTTCTCTTCAAAAGGAGAAGGGGGTGAGAGAGTAATAGGGTCATTCTGGCAGTACTTCTTCAGCAAAGGGCAACTCTGTGGCATCATCTGTGGAGAAGAAGCTTTTCAACTCTGTAACTGATGCCTGCATGAGGGGAAAAATCCTCACAGGTCTCTCAAAATTTTCCACAGCACATGCTCTTTAGCTGACTGGCTTCTAACATGGTGTGAGGAAATCTTTTCTTTATTGGCTCTATGTTTACTCAATTTTGTAGCCATTACTTTTCGAGAATGACTCCACCATGACACATCAGGCAAGATTTGCCACTGCCTCCGCAAAATAGTATTCAATTTTTTTTAAATAATTAGGAACAATTTTCATTAATCGTTCATTTAAATATACATACACGGTATAAAGTACAATCATATTTCCTCTTAAAGACACAAAACATTTTTAAATACATGCAGAATAGTTGGAGAATAACTAAAGTTACAAATTTTCAGCTAACAGATGATTCTAAAACATTAGTAATTAGTAATTCCCAATTTGATATGTATGTGGTATTATTTATAAGAGATTAGTAGTCTTAATAATTTATAGATTTTATATGTATATTTAATATTGTTTAAATATATTGAATTCTAATGTGATTAGTAAATATATTCCTTTTCAGAAGATACCAAATTCATTACGACATTGTAGCATGTGCTTTTATTAGTGAAGTTAGTTCATAGCTTCATACATGTGCTCTCTTATATCACCCTCTCTTAACTCCTTCTTAGCCCCTGTGACTTGTTTTCTTTCCTATAAATTTCTTTATCACATTTCTGCTTATGTGTTTTATTTTGTGATCCCCTGGGCCCATGTGACCTTATCAATGTAACTTTCCTTCAGTTTTATCCACTTACTGGCAGATTTAAAATTCCACTATACATAAATGCCATAATCAGTAACCATTCATCAGTTGACAAATACATAAATTATTTCTGTTTCCTAGCTCCTGTGAGTACAGCAGCAATGAACATGTATGTCTGTAGTATGATTTTGTGTGTGTATTATGTCCAAGGTGGCATAGTTGGTTTATCAGTTAGGGTTTTTTATTTAAATTAGAAACAAGCTTGTTTTACGTGTCAATCACAGTTCCCTCTCCATCTCCTCCTCCCCTGTCCCCCACCTATCCCCTATCCCTTCCACTTTCTGCTCCACAGGGAGGGTGAGACCTTCCATGGGAGATTATCAGTTAGTTTTATTTCTGATTTTTTGAGAAACCTCCAGACTGATTTCTGAAGCAGCTGCACAAGCTTCCGTTCCTACCAGCAGTATATAAAGGTCCCTTTCCCATCCATGCCAGAGTTTGTTGTCATTTGATATCTTAGTGACAGCCCTTCTGACAGGGATGAGGTACAACTTTAAAATGGTTTTAATCTGCATTTCCCTGATGACCGATGATGTTGAAAATTGTAAGTCTTCTCTGTCTACTTGTATTATTGAAACTTCTTTGTTCACTCACGTAGCCCATTTTTCTACTCAGTTATTTACTCTCAATGTTTAAATTTTAATTCTTTTTATACTCCAACCATTAATCCTCAGTCCAGGATAATATAGCTGCCAAAGATTCCCCCCTCCTAACCCAGCATCTGCTGTACAGGAGCTCCTTGCTTTTATTAGAGGTTGTTTGTCAGTTGTTGGTCTTACTTCCAGAGTAAAATTTCTCCAAACTGGTGGGGGGGGGAAGCCCAGGGCCAGATGGATTCAGCAAAATTATACCAGAAATTCAAAAAGTATTGACACCAAAACTGCTCAACTAATGCATAAAGTAGAAATGGAAATAAGGTTATAAAATTCCTTTAATGAAGCCAGCATTATACTGATGTCAAAGAAAAGAAAAGATAAATCTACAGAATGATCTTCCTGCTGAATACAGATATCCAGATACAGAATTTCTCAAGAAAATGCTTGCAAACCTAGTTCAAGATCAAAAAGATTGTTCATCATGATCAAGTTGGCTCAAAAAAAACCAATAAACATAATTTGTCACATAAGTGGACTCAAAGACAAAAATTGCATGAATAGTCACAGAAAAAGCCTTTGATAAAATTCAATATTCCTTCGTGATAAAAGGCATGGAGAAACTAGAGAATAGTTCTCAACACAATAAAGGCTATATATGTTAGAGCTATCACCAGAATCACATTAAATCAAAAAGACCCTAAAGCATTGCCACCAAGATCAGGAACAAGACAAGTATGTTCACTGTCTCCACTTATTCAATATAGTACTTGAGGTCTTAGTTAGGCAAGAAATAAATAGAAGGAATGCAAATGCAAATGCAAATGGAATAGGAGAGAAGGACCACAAATAAGTTCATAAAGTTACAGCTGACTACTTTTTGACAAAGATGCGAAAAATACATGTGGAATGTAGGACGTGTGTGTATGACATATATATATGTATATATATACATATATATATGGAGAGGTGGAGTTGATGGGGAAGTACATCAATTTTAGAGTAAATATTTAGTGTACTAGAGGCCCTGGGTCCCACTCCTGAGCACCCAAAGAATAAATAACTAAAGTAAGTCATTCACAAATATAGGAAAGTGTTCAATATTAATTAATATTCAAAATATGAGACCTAGAATGTCTCCACTCTAAACTTAGCCACATGTTAAATATATGAAGATTTTAAAAACAAATTTTATTTGAGTGAATAATATATACCTTCTGCATTTTTATATATGATAACTTAAATAATGTCTGATAAAATTAAAACAAAACACAAACATTCAATCAAAATTTTAAGCAACATATTTTCCTATGATCTTTGTGGGACACTCAATTCCCCCTCCCTTCATCTCTCCCTTTCTCCTTCCCCCCTCTATCCTTCCCTCCCTCCCTCCATTCCTTCCTTCCTTGACATGGTCTCTCTATGTAGCTTTTTGTCCTATAACTCTCTATGTAGACCATACTGGCCTTGAACTCACAGAGATCTGCCTATGCCTACCTCCAAAGCACTGGGATTAAAGGCTTGCCATGACACTAGGTTCAGTTTTGTATTTCTACCAATAATCAGCTGACAA